GAAAGTTGCAAAATAATTAATATGCAGAGAATTCAAAAACACCTAATTATTATCAATTAGTTCAAGCGTTGATTTTAAATCTTTAATTAGTTGATTTTTTGCTTTAAAACTAATTTTGTCATTTCTATTTTCTAGATGCATAAAATAATGGTTGCAGAAAGTGACACGAAATTACTGTACAGAGATTTTTGATCAGTCACCAGGACTAGTGTATTTTCAAATCTTCTTTTTTCAATCATCACTTTCAAAATTTGCACTTTAAGATATTTTTATTTATGAAAAGGCAAAATAGTTAAGACCCTCGTTAATTCCCTCGCACAATCAATTGAATTTTCAATAAAAATATTCAATTTTAAAAGAAGATCCTCCGTTTTGAGTTATCACAAGTCAAAACACGTTTCGAATATGAAAAGATCAACGCGTTTAAGTGTATCTTTTTCATCTCCATATTTTCATGTAAATTATTGTTAATTTTAAATTTGTATGACAATCCTCTAAAAAACTTCAAAAGGTGCGAGGGTCGTAGTTGAAAAAAGTTAAAATTCTTAAACATTCAGTGAGAAAAATCATAAAGGAGAAAAGAATGGATAAATTAATTTTTAAACTCCTATTATTTTAATAATTTGCCCATTAATGATAATAATTCGCATGAATTTCTGACACTTTTTAAATATTTGACCAGTCAAACATTATCCCTCGAGGTGTACATTTTTTTTATCCTTCGTTAAATAAACTCACTCGGTTGCGTCAAGAGCGGAGGCTCTCGATTCGCCAATTAATTCGTTCGCGTTTCCCTCGCCTTTTCACCCCTCGCTAAATAAGGCCCGGCGAACAATCGAAACACCAATTTCGTCAAAGGACTTCTACTGCCGCGCTGCTCTCTCATTAAACTTTCGCGTTGATAAAGTTTCACCATGGAAACGTGCGGAAAATTGAATTTCACACGTCGCGATTATTCCAAAGGACAAAAATAGCGACAGGCCCGTTGCTCGCCTCTGGAGATTTGCGTGTTTCGGATGTGAAGATATGCATGCTCCATTATTTGCTTTGGCACACGCGAAAGAGAGAGAGTCGGAAAGGCAGGTACATGTCACTGGTAAAAAGGAGAGACTGCCAAAGGGAAGAAGAGAGTGGATGAATGCCGAATAAGTCAATCATATTGAAAATAAGATAGTGCTGCCTGTGCGAGCACATCCACGGCCCGAGCAAACATAATTTGGAAAAGAAGCTTCTCCATTGCAGAAAAGAATGGAAAAAAGAAGAAGGCGAGAGAGAGAAAAGAGGTCTGATATTTCAATTCAACTGTCAGGCGGAAAGAAATCGACTCGAAGAAAGGCGGAGAAATAAATGTTATCATTTTTTTCTCATAACTCTTAACTGTTTATTTTTTCTTTTTCAAAAGGAACTTCTTGGAACCTTTTTCAATTTACTTTGTTTGAAGAAAATCTGAAGTAATTTAATTCACGATTTCTTCCGCTTGGAATGGATCGAACTCTCAGGAAAAAAAGACTGCTTCTCTTTATATTAAATGATAAGGATCAAAACTTTTTATACAAGAATTTTTATCATTATAAAGAATAAGATTTAAAGATTTTAATCATAATTTATGCATCATTTGACTGAATATGCTTTTAATTAATTTACTTGTTTCAATATGCAAGCTCGCGAAATTAAATCAACTATAGAAAATGGTCTTTAAAATGCTTTGGTTCTTGCGTTATATGAAGTTGGAATTTAATCAAATGTATTCTTAAAATAGGCGAATTTGAGCTACATTTTTAAAAGCAATAAAATGAGTTTAAATATAAAATAAATTAATTTGAAATAGAAAACACCCTTACTTGTTGACACTTAAAGTACCAAAACTACCCTTTTTACTATTCAAATAAAAATAAAAGTGCTTAGAAATATTTTCCTTATTTTTTATAGTTGAACACGATTTACTTTGTCTGGTCTTTGGCCTTGTGAGGGAGGATTGAAGAGTCAAAGTATGTGTTGATGTTAATCTGATGCCGTGAAGGGCGCATCACTCTTAATTTGCGACGACAGGTCAGCGTATGCGAGTGGATCCGAAAGGGCTCCCGCGACCACCCACCCATGATTTGCATACGCGACGCAGAGACGCGTGACGTCACCGTAATTTTATTACTGCAGTGTTTGCGCGCTTGGCATTTTGTAATGGCTGTTTTATGTGAGAGGATTCGGTAGGCTTACTTTTTTTTCTTGCCCGGCGGAGGCGCAAAATTTTATGCGGCATTCGCAACAAACTGCTGAAAGGAAATATATAGATATTTCCTTAAGGGATTAGGTGTGGTTTGCGGCGCGAGAACGGAAAAGGAGATCTTTTCTTTCTTGGCCCGCGCCGCGTGTAATATTTTTAATTCTCCCTCGGCCTATCTCGGAAGCGTCCAGCGAGCACCATCAGCGCCAGGCAGTCTGCTCTTCCCGTGGCCAAGTGCCAAACAAATACATTACACGCTTCGATGTGAAACTAGAAGTAGCGCAAAAGCCCGAGTGAGACGTTTTTAAGGAGGCGCTGCAATTACACCAGACTCACTTTAGCTCTCAAAGGTCTACTGAGAAAAACCAGAGTCTATTGTTATGGTGAGGAAAATCATATTTCGAAATCAGCGACTCTCATGTAATTCTAACTAATTGTTTGAATGGAAAAAATTATTTCTGACGAACTATTAGGATTTAAAATAGCAGACGATAAAAGTTTTTTTTTTTAATAATGAAAATATATACTGATATTTGTTATTTAACTTTTCTTTTTAAAAAATATTAAATTTTAACAATAATAAATGTTTTAAATATTATTCATATTTTGTTTTATTATTTAAGAGTATTTTTAAACGTCAAATTAAAATTACGCTACAACTTTCGATTTGGTGAACAAAATAATACATAAGTTTGTGCAGTGCAGAGCATTTAGAAACGTATTATTAGTATCCTATGTTCTAACTGTACTGTTCACTGTTATTTTATAAATTATATTGCTTAAATTTTTTTTTTAATTAATAGAAATAGCTTGACTAGAAGATAAACGTCAAAAATCATGTGCAAATTTTTTGCTTTGTTTAAATTTGTTTAATTAATTCTGCCCCAAAACAACAGAGTTGGTGGGCGTACTTAAGGTTGTTAAACTCCATTGTCGTTTCAGATTGACGAAAAGAAATGACATTTTCGACAGTATGAGGAAACTCTTTGAAAAGTAATTATGATAATGAGAAAAGTCTGACGCGAACGTGTTGCCACAATATCCGTCAAGTGAAGACGAAATTTGCCAAACGAAAAAGCATCACGCGCGGCTTTGCCTAATAACTTTTCAGCATCAGCTGAAAATTCGCCGAAGGACGGCAGCCAAAAAAATTACAACTTGCCTTCAGTGCTACAATAATTAATGAGGAGGAAAGTGCTGCTGAAAGCCAGCCTGGCCGGGGTTGATAAACCAACTTTCGCGTTCAAAATATCGACGCCTAAGCCGCAAAAAAAAATACACACCGATCAATATCAGGAACTTAAGAAACGACTCTGCAAAAAGTTTAAATAAAGCCATTAAAATAGTCCAAAAAGTGTTCGGGATTTTGCTTTCGTTCCCAGAGAGACAAAGTTTGCTATTCAGAATTGTGGCGAAGCGAAAGTTTCGTAGCTACGGGCGCTTTGAGGATTGCATGCTGAACGACATTTCATTGGAGGATCAATTTGTTGAGCTGTGCTTCTGCGTGCGTGGTTAAAAGCAAAACAAAAGAGCGAAAGCCGTGCGAGGCGATTATTATGAAAATGAAATTCAAAAGAACGCTTGGAATCCGGTTTGCGCCAATATTTAAATAAAATAATATATCGAATGGTATTGACACGATGAGGTTTCCTTTGGTGTGTGCGTTCAGAAGTGGAAAAGCGCACGCTATTTGTATAAAAAGTCCCGGGAAAGTGACAGCCTGCTTGCGTGTCCTAATCCGATATACATTTTTTATATATTGCAGCAGGAGTTTCGCTTTTTTATTACAATGGAGGCGTTTGTGACTCTATTTTCAATGTAGCGAAAATTCCAAGATTTTCCAATCTCGCGAAATAATAACAATCTAAATTTGGAAAGTACGATATTAGCACAAGACTATGTTTGCGTTGCATTACAGATTCAAGGGACTAAATAGGGGATATGTATAGTAGATTGTTTGTTATTATTTACCTAGTGAGCCTTGTTCAAACAAACAACAACTCTGGAGGACGAAATTTGAGCTAACAGATGCGTGGATGGGCACGTTGCGTGTTTTGTATGCCAAACACAAATCGGAAACAGTGTGCGTGTGATTGCGACGCAAAAAGTGAAAGCAGTGAAAAAGCAGGCTTCATGATTCCATTACTTTAGATGTAGAATTTGACGTTACCTTTAGCCTTTTCAGGTTTAATGAAAGAGCAACTAAGTTTTTTTTAGGTATATAAGAGTGTAATAGAGTGTTTGTGAAAAACGTAGATGATTTTTCCTAAATAACTTCCACTCACAAGTCAGTGCTTTACGAAAATTGATTTTCTCCACAAATAAATTGATTTTATGCTAATATATATATATTCATTTCCCATCAAAAACTGAATGAATTAATAACTTTTTTACAATTTCCAGTAAAAATTTTAAATGGACAATTAAATTATTTCCATAGAACTTTGTCAATGTAATTAATTTGTAAAAAATCAATAAAAAAATATTTATATAGGTTTAAGTAAAATTATCAAAGATTAAGTTTAATAAAACGAAAAATTGTTTTTTCCCGGTTTTTCTTTTACCTTACAACTTTAGACGATGTACAATTTAACCTATCTCTGTACCCAAAAACCAACGAGCCTTCATATATGTACAAGTAAGCTGTACTTGCGAGGGTTGACAAGTTGCTCGAAAATGAGTAGATCGAGTTTGCACCCTAAACTTGGCGGCGTTCTTGGGTCACGTTCTATTGTGCACATCCAACTTTAAAGGCGACACTAAAAAGTTTAGTGCTTACCTTTGCAGCCGAGAGTGTCAAAGTTCAAATCTTATTGCTTTCAGCCGGTGTTTCCTTGTAGAAGTTGACAGACTCGGGGAAGAAGCAGGCCCATGGCTGGAACAAATTAAACAAGCAATAAAACTGTGGCCGCTGACGTCATACAATAAATAAATTTTCGGCTGGATTTTGCAAAGGTAAAACCGGCTGACCGATTTTATTTCAGCCAATTATTTCGCTCTGGTTGGAATTGGCAGAATGTAAAAAAAAAAGGAGAGCGAGCAGAGCTAATTAGAGAAGTAGAATGCTTCTGTTGCGAGAGCGATTTTAATTAACCCTGTCGGACTGAAATTCAATTGCTCTTGACGTGGAAAAAAGAACTGAATAATGAACGAGACGCAAAAAGCTACCGTGAAGCCTTTTTAGCCAGATCGGTGGCTTTTGTGCGCATTACCATCATCAATGGTTCAGTGCGGTGACATAATTATTCGATTAACACACTGCCATGTCATTTCTCATTAACAGCGTTTTGTTTATAAGTCCCATACGGCAAACAATATCTAGTTAACGTCGATCATTGGTAATGAAAGTTTATCTCGTTATAAACTAGTATCGAAAGAAAAAATGAAGCCGAGGTTTATCACATCGGAAATGTCAAAAAATACAAAAGTAAAATTTATCCCATAGTTCCAGTTTTTCATGAACTATGGTTAATTTTTAATTAAATTATATGTATAGAGTGGGAAATGAAGAAATCGGGCTTGTCCTCGTTTCAAAAACGAAGTGGCTCAATACCAGTTTCAGGCACGGTCACGGGACCCAATTTCATGAACAACCTGTTTTGTTTTTGAATAAAACAATTTTTACAAGGACCGATTTCTTCATTTCCATGATCAACACCTCGAGTGTTAACTTCTTCTATAATGTTAATAATTATATTAAACTTAATCTTTCAAAGCTTTGAGTAGTTTGCAAATAAGTTTTCACTTAAATTCATATGATTATGATTTTTATAATGAGAATTATTGAACTCCAACATTATTATTTAAATAAAATATAATTATAAAACAGTAATAATTACTAAACAATAAATTTCACAAATTTCAAAAACATGAAATAAAAAATATTTTTAAATAATTAAAATTAATATTAACTCAAATATAAAAAAAAAATTATAATTAGATAATTAATTTCCCTTCTTATAAAAAATGAAATTGTCAATTTTAAATTACTAATTCAATTTAACCAGTACATAGAATAATACATAAAATTGCGTTTATTTTAAAACTAAAAGAAGTAGCTTTCAATCAGTTGAAGTAAGTTTTACAATTAATTAGACAAATAATTCAAAACAAAATTATAAAGTAGGAAAGCTTCATGCAGGAATGTTGTCAAAATTATGTCAAAAGCAAAACGCAGAGTAGTTTCAACCTATCGAGAGTCATGTGTTTTATGTTTGCGCGCTTAGGACTGCTGTAGGGCTTCAATTACAAGAGCGGCAATGTGATATCAACTTCTTAAGAATATCAAATGGAATTACATCGAGTTTCCTATTAACAAAAGGCCAGCATACCATGGCTTCCCTGATTTACAAACTATATCATTTGTTTCAAAGCGAAACAATGAGAAGAATGGAAAATAAAAATTGAATTCTATAAATAGAAATAAGGGACACGAAAAAATTATTTTTTCGTCACAGAGAATCGCAATAATGAATGGACGAGCTCCTCATTCTCCTGAAAACCGCCAGCGTCCTTTCTTATTATTACTTTGCATAGTCATCGAGACATGATATTAGCTCAAGATTCCATCTTTAGCATCTTTATAGCCTCACTCATTCATCATCGTCATCGGATTTCAGGTCCATTCACTCAAGAGACTCTCGCCTACTTTAATCATTTTCCATCGTTTCGCTCGAGGCAAAGTTTCCATCGGCATGAAATCCGCAGAGAGAGAAAATTATCCCGAATGCTGATGCGAAATTTGACAAAGAGAGAAACAATTGCATTCCCGAAAAGCCACGACTTCAAAGGCGGAATTCTGCGGTTTGAAAAAAAAGTATATACAGCTTTTTTTAGTCTGCCACCGTATTTCTTACAAGCCGGAGGCAACTTGGCAATATAATATGACAAAGAGTGCGGCCCAGGATATTGCCTCACCTCACTCCGGAGCGCTGCTCTGAATTATGAATTTCTCCGAGCATGTGGACGGGACTTATCGACCTGGGTGCCCCCAACAGTGCAACTTCTGAATGGTACCGTGCAATATTAACGAGCTGAACGAACCAGTGTGCGAAAGTCGTCTTACTTAGTGAAGGTGGATTCTGCCCCAGCATCCTAAATTCTTTAGGCACCGCAAACAACCCAGACCCTTCCGAACACGGTCGGTCAGCTAAACCTCAACTTGGGTCTGGGTGTGGATATATTTTTAAAAATTCACGTGAGTTTGTTCAGAGAAAAAAAGAAGAAAATAAGCAGGAACAACCAACCCAAAGTTTGTTATTACAATTTATTTTCCCTTATATTGTTGTTAATTTGTCCAAATTGTTACATCAAAATGTTTACACTCAATTGTTGAAAACAATTTATTTGAAAATAAAGGAATTTTAGGACAAAATGGCACCACCACTAGCAAGAATTTTGCTCAAACTTCCGAGCTTCCGAAAAAAAAGACCCTGCAGTGAGCCTCGGTTGACTTAGTTTTTTTTGTTATCACTTAAATTTTGTCAATTATTTGTTAATTTTACATTGTTTTATCAATGAAGTTTTAAATTAACCCAAATATTTATGAATCCAGGCTCGTTTTGTAAGACGACAAAAACCATTCTCGTCACTGTGGAATTCCCAAACCCCTTGCAACATGCAGCACTGCCGTCACACTGGTCGTGCAGGTTGCATAAAAATGCGTGCCGTAATTGCACACCGCAGTTCCGTGGAGGAAGATAATACGTAAAAAGCTCCCAGCGGTGACATATAGCGTGGGTATGCGCGCTCGTATTCAAATTTCCCAACAGTGGCACCTCTAATTTAAATTGTAAATGGCGCGCTCTGCTCACATATGTGCCCTCTCGCCACGAGTTTTCGCGCAAGCAGCCATTGTGGTCAAACTTTCATCAACCGTGTCATTCAAAATCAACACCGGGAGCAATTTCAAGCACATGATGATTTGCGCCGAATAGAGAGGCGCGGGGAGTCGAGCGGAATCCAGTTCAGTTGATTACTCAGGCAGGTGCCGTTTTGGTGAACTCTGATTCTGGTGCAGTTTAATATTCTATAAAATGTTTGTCCTCTTGATTTTCGCTTCATATCTGGATTGAAAATTCTGGCCGGTCAACTTTTTTCCAGTGCAATTTTGATTATAAGCAAAAATTTATTAGGGGAACTTTGGAACTGATTCTATTGTCATGTGAATCTTCATAAAACAAAATTGTTAACTGATATCGAATTTCCTCAATTATCCTGTTTACACCTTGAATTCCATAAATTTGCAATACTTCCCATAGAAAATGAAAATACCAAGATTATATTCAATTTTTTTTTTTATAAACTCGGAAACACATTAGAAGCAACTGATGAATTGATGGTAATATAATTCAAGAAATAAATCATTTAAACATATTAAATTAGCAAAAAGGCCCACTTTCTTGCGATTATGATGCATTTTTTTTAATTGCTAAAAATAATTGCTCAATTTATCACTTTGACTTTAATTTTGATATTTTTTAAGCAAGTTAAACCTGATGAAATTTAAAAAAAAATCAGTCTTTAAGCATTCATATATTTTTAAAGAGAAACTAGAAATAAAAATTGTAATTTGTTCATATGAAAAATATTCTGATGAAAATCAATAAAAATTACAATTTTAATATATGTTGTTTTTGTTTTTTATTTACCAATTTTCGCAAAAGATCATTATAAAAGCTAATAATTATGATTTTATTCCGCGCCATCGGCAATCTATCTTTGAGAGTAAATAATGTCGGTCGGGCGATGTCAATTTTTCTAGATAAACGCGTGGAAGCCCCAGCGGCGTTCAAATGAAGAGAAACGATGCACACTTTTTATCACCCCGAGCCAATTTGCGGCAAAAACACAAATCTTGGCCGTTGTGTTTGTTTTGTCCAACCAAGCAGCGGAAAAGCAAAGTTTGTTTATTTCATTGCTCCGAGTTTTTCCTTCCCATGTGTCGACCCCATAAAAGTGTGAGCTGCGTGCCTTTCGAAGCGATTTTTCTCCCTCGCTCGATCAGGACATTTATTTTCCGCGCGCTATTTGTAAATTGTCCCACATTTGTCTCGCTCGGCGTGCTGCAGGTCTCAATTTTCAGGCAACACATGCTCGAAAACTAAATCATTTCCGCCGCGTCGACAACTGCAAACTCTACTTTACATCTTCTATCGGTGACACTTGGCGAAAAACTCCACTCGCACGCGCACTTGACGAAGAGCCAAGGGCAGCATTGCGTCGCACAAGTGGCAGGGTTGTTCAAAGGATAAGTTTCTCAACGGTTTTCCCAGCCGTGTGAATTTAATTAATTTAATTCTAGTTTTAAGATATTTTGAATGCGATGTTTAAAATAAATTACTCTTTAGGTTAATATTTAAAATTAAATTATTAATTCCTATAAAAAAATCAGGTAATAATAATTTTATAATGTAATTTAACGACCATTTATTATTTTTTTTTTTAAATTTAGTTATTTATTATAAAAATTTAATTTAATATTAAAATTAATGAATTTTAAATTATTTTCAAATATATCAACTAAATTTGCTTGTAAACAAAATTTAATTATTACATATTATTTAAATATTTCTATGACTACAATCAATACAAATAAATTAATAAAATTGAATTTCCATAGCTATCGTCCAATTTGTTATAAATAATAATGAATTTTGCCGCTTTTTTATGAATTAAAAAAATTTTGTTTTCATTGAATTATAGCCTATCCTCATTAAAAATTCAATGTAAAAACCAACTAAAGAATCAAATTAATATACAGCTTGATGCAATTATAATTTATAATTAATCCAAACAAAGTTTTTCATTAGATGTTGTGAACAAAAATATTTTAAATTGCCTGGAAATGTATACAAAAATCAATCTGTACGTTCT